TAGGAAGCTAAAAGTCTGAAATCTGAGCACTAACTCTAGGGGAAGGCTCTCTCTTGGTCTGAAATCTGAGCACTAGCTCTAGGGGAAGGCTCTCTCTTGTCACTAGGGGGAAGATCTCTTTCAGTTTCTGGAAACATGGCATTCCTTGATTCCTTGGCAATCTCCTCTCATTTTGTGCTTGTTTCTCTGTGCCTAATCTGTTCTTTTCATATCTAAAAAGTGAATAAGCTTAAGACTGTCATGGCCTCATTAACGTGACAAAGATAACCCTATGCCCAAAAGAAACTACATCCTCAAGTATAGGGGTCAGCACTTCAACACATATTTAAGGGGGCACAATTCAATCTGGAACAGGGTGTATGATGGGGAGAGATGCATATGAGAACTTTACTTTTTGTGCAGTTTTGCTGTAAACCAAAAACTGCTCTAAAAAAATAAAAAGTTTATTTTTTTTTAAATGAGGATGTGTGCATGCTCTTTGCAAATTTTTTTCATTAGTACTGTAGTCTTTTAATCTCTTGTAAACGAGGACCAATTGAAGAAAAAGTCTGTTTGTCCTAGTAAACAAAAACAGTGTTCTTTTTTTCTCAAAGAAACCGTATTTCAAGGTAACCAGCAAATAATAAAGTAATGTTATGGAAGGAAATTGGTAAAATGCAGGAATACCTAGAGTAGGAAAGTGGACCCCTGACCCTCTTAAGTTCTTCTTCCATTTGGGCTATATGTTCTTTTCAGAGCAAAAGTAGCCTACTGTTTACATGGGACAAGCAATAACTGACTCGATGAAAATGTTTTATGAGACTTTACTTTGAGAAGGAAGTGTAATAGACACAAATCAGTGATTTCTGTATCTTGGGAAGGGAGTAGTGGTGGCGTAAATAACTATTTAATTAGTCTAAGTTAATTACAAGAAGCTCCGGGAGCAAGGTAAGCACGGGTGGGCTTGTGCTTACTCACTGATCTGCACTGAACACTTCCCTTGTTACCCTCCCGAGAGGGACCGGGTCTCCGGGAGCAAGGTAAGCATGGGCGTAGCACAGAGTAGTAGGCCGGAAGAGTAGGAGAAAGGGGTAAAACCCAGGAAGCCAAAGAGAAGAGCAATCAGCCGAAGGGATTAGGTGAGGAGGGGAAACTCAGGGACGCCCAAAGAAGCAGGCCAGAAGAGCAGGAGAAAGGGGATTAAAAGACAGGAAGCCAGACAGAGGAA